AGGATGCAAGCATATTTTGACATCAAATTTTGGGGTAAAAAAGTGTATCTTATACACCGAAAAATACGGTAGCAGTTGTTTTAATTTTTCAAAAACAGTCTGTTCTTTGAACAAGAAGATATTTTAAGAAAGAAACACTGGAAGGGTATTTTGTAGCAATATTTACTAGAATTAAGTGTTATATTTCAATGTAATGTTTATGGCTAACATGTGTTTTTCTGACTACATTAGTGTAACCAAACTTTACAGCTACATCTTACTGAACTTAAGTAATATTGAGTAATATTAAGAATATTATTTTTGCTTTCAAAAATCATTTAAAATAAAGATTTAAATTGACTGTATAGTTCTTTCTTTTGGTATGCTGTCTTCAGTGGTTAAGATTTAAGCTTATTTAACTTTTGTTATGCAGTCTTCAGTGGTTAAGATTTAATCTTATTTAACTTTTGTTATGCATTCTTCAGTGGTTAAGATTTAAGCTTTTTTAACTTTGTTTTCATTTTGTCATCTTTTATAAATTAAATTTCCTTCTTAGAAAAATATAACAGCTTTTAAAATGTTCTAAAGTAGAATCTTGAAGGTGCAATGGTAACTACCCATTTATATTGGTTGTTGGAATTTCATGTTCTATTATTTTCTTTACATTTTCACAATTGTATTGTGGTAGTGCACTCATCTTCTGGTTAAGAAATGGTTTTCTTAACTTAATGGCAAGATATTCTTGCATTCTAAGGTGGAATTCTTCCCAGGAGTGAACAATTATGCAGAAGAAACTGGAGGTAGACACAGTACTACATTCATTTAGACAGTAGTTCCTAATACTACTGGTGTTTTAGGTTTTAGCATTAGTGCTCTTTTATTTGACTGTAAAGCCTTCTTTTGGTTGATCCAATGTATCCCTGGTTGCACTTTGAACGTGTGAACTAATATACCACTAGTGAGGTATTCAATGGATGTTGTTTGTTGTTAAAGCTGAAGAGTCCTGTAACCTAAACTTAACATGTGGATATAGCTGTTTGATAAATTTATTAATCATTTATGAAATAATGCTTAAGTAAAGTATGGATTAAGTAATAGTTTTCTTTGGAATACGTAACAGATAGGATATTTAGTTTTCCAGTTTTGATGTGGATTATACTTAGAAGCCACAATGGAAAACAATTTCTTCTAAATGTTTTCAACTTCTGCTTCAAAAAGATTTGATTTCCCGATATTTTAAATGTTCATTATAGCGTTTTTTTTTAACCAGATTTATTTAAAGATTGCAAAAGTGAAACTTTCAAAATGTGAATAAAAGTCCAGTGAAAGTGGGCTTATGATACATTTTAGTGATAAGTATATGCTGGTTATTTACAGCAAACATCTGAGAGAAAAATAAGTTTGTCATTCTGTAGATTTTCAACAGTGAACTTTATATTGGTATGCTTACCACATACAAACTGGAGAAGTGTGTTAACTGATTCAACATTGTTAAACACCACAAAAGTGCCATCAATATATTTCCTGCAACTACTTGAAATAGCACTACCAAACACATTTATTAAAAACTTTAAAAAAAAGGACAAATTGTTTTTAAGAAGACTATCCAGTATAGATTATTCACCTGATAAAAATAGGCTGAGAGAAGAAAATGCAAAAATTTGCGAGTCAATCTTTGTAACCACTTCTACTTCAAGGGGATCATTTTGTCCATATGGAACAAAACTTTACCAGGGAAATGTGGGCTGTTGAATTTCTTGTATTAGAGATTGTAATTTGCACTTAAAGACAACACTGTAAGTTAAAAAAAGATAACAGTGTAAGGAGCAAGGCTGGACCCCACAGCCACTCCGTCAATCTGTTTGTAGATTTTACCATTAAAACGTAAAATGTTACTGTTTCCTCATAAAATTAAAAGTATTTTAAAAACATCTTTAGTCATACCCTGTACAGCTCAATTCTCAAGAAACACAAGGTTAGTGGTTTCATGTAAAGGTATATTTGTAAACAATGACTCAGTATCATAACTATCACAATGAACATTATCATTAAACTGTCTGTTGTAAGCTATTGAAAAATTCAAAGGCATCCTTAACAGAATATTCATTCTATACAAACTATTTCAAAAAACAGGTTTTAAAGACCTTGCTAACTGTTTATTATAAGTAGCTACACTAGAAACAGTTGGTCTGACTATACATCCTAGTTTGTAAACCTTAGGGAACTTTTATAAAACCCCACACTAGTCTGGTTTTTTAGTACATTTTTTCTGTTATGATACCCCTTTTTTTAACAAAAAGTATATTGTATGTTTAGGTGGAATGACTCCTAATTTCTTTAGACTTATCTATATTACTCAGAATAGCTTCCATTTTATTTAAAATTACTACCCTATTTCTATGCAGTCGATTAAAAACCTACAATACCAGTAATATTACCACCCTCTGTCTAAATGAATTTGATTTCATACCTATTTCCAATTTCTTCCACATCATTCTCTGCAAAAATTCCACTTTAGAATGCTAGAATCTCTTGCCATTAAGGTAAGAAAACCAGTTCTATACCATAAGATGAGCACATTACATCTTCAATTGTAAAAATGTAAAGAAAAGAACATAAAATGAACCTCGATCGTTGAACTAAAACTTGTTTGTGTTTTGAACTGCATCAATGTTCCTTATGCTTATGAAAAATGCTCCAAATACTTGGGACCCTAATTTTAATATAATGTTGGTAAAACGCTTTATTTCTGTAAGCTTATTCCATTATAAATCTGCCATACTTGTCCCTCCAATCACCCATATTTTAATATTATACCAGCTAGTTGAACAAGATTATTGTAATACAGCTTAGCATCAAGGTTGGGGTTGTGAAAGTTAAGTTTCGAGGACCATAACTAATGTTCAGCAGCAAGATATAGATACCATACATTTTAACTGTATGACCATAAAGAGCATATACTTTTAATGTAAAGTAGTTATGTTAGCTAGTAAAGTTTATATTACACGTTTGACTATGAAAACTTTTTTTATGCTCTTATGTCTACAGTATTATACTAACGAAAGAAAACCATATTTTTAAAGCTAAAAATCTCTTACCTTCATTGTGAATCAACTTAAAAATCTAAGTAATGAAATGTACAGATTGTGTTCTCTTAAGTATTGATTTTGATAAAATATCTAGGATGAACTTTCATCCCAGTTAACATATTTCTGTGGAGTAATTGTTGTGTTAGAAAATAAAATCTGAACGCTCTAAAATGTTGTTAAAAACTTTTAGCCTTGAATTCATTATTCTGTAAGAGTTGAGTAGCTAATGTTTCGAGAAAACTTTTTAATAGTTGAGTCATTTATAACTTGTAGTGCACGTATTAATACACTTCAGAAAGCTGTGATTTTCTAAACAATGATACCATATGGGACGAAACTTTATAAGGAAAACGTTGACTGTTGTGTTGGATTTATTGTATTAGATATTGTACTTGTGCTTGCAACTGTGGATTTGGTAGAATAAACTGATATTTTAGCAGTTCTCGGATTTGAAAACCATTTTAAACCAACTGTTGTCTTTTAACATTGTATATTAACTTTGTATGTCTTAACATATGGTAGATTTGGGATTCAGCGCCATCTAGATAATTATTTTTTTTTGTCCACCATCACTGGTGATGCTACTCTGAGTCAAAAGTGATTTTGTAAAATAAATTTAAAGCTTCTGTATTAAAAACACGAAAATAAGTAAAAAACATACTTCCATTGTTTGTATATATTCATATATATTGTGTAAAGAGATGCAGTGTTACAATTAAAGAGTTTTAACACAAGTATTATATTTTGTATTGTTATATTACTAATTTATGAAGAGCAATTTGTTTTTGGTTAAATAATTTAGAACGTAATTATGCAATTTTAATGGAAAACCGGGGGGGGGACTCGTGATTCGCATATGAAACATTTATTTAGTAGTGGTATTTTGTATTTGAATGCACAAAGTTTATGAAATGTAAGAGCATTGCTGTGTATTTAAAGTAATTAAAACAGTTAAGTGACCTGCCTGGGCTACTCACGTGTGAGGTCAGGAACGTAGTATTCTGAACAAATTGATGGCCGTGCGGGGCGTTTCGGTTACTGCGAGGTTAAACATATTCCACAGCACTGATATCTACTAAACACCTCTAGTTCAAAAGACACTTTGAATCGAATGGTGTGATCAAAAATAACAAACCGATCGACTTATCCGGTAAAAAGTACCAGATCTAGAAACGCTTTCAAAACCTAGTTAATGGGGTATTAAAATTCAACGTGGTGGCAGTACTGATACACTGTGTCTATAAATAAATTCATACACAAAACATTAACGCATAAATACTGCTGTCTGAGAAATAGCAGATCCATTCCCTGAATATCATTTCACATAGTAATATCTACATCCACATCTTCTTTATGCATATGGTGACGTCATCCGGACGCCCCTCCTCTTAATTTCGTTTTTTATATAGTTCAATGAAGTTTAAAAGCTCCTTACCTATGCACACACGTTACGCATTTAATTGTATAGATATGTCGGAGGTTTTGGCATAATTCGACTTACTTAATATGCGAAAATACGGGACTGTATGATAAGTGGTTGGATAGGAAAATGTTAAAAATAAGATTGTGACACCTTTGTATTGAAATATTTGGAAAAGGTATATAGTGTAAAAATAGTTCGGAAGAAAGATTTGATTAGGAAAAAATTAATAAAATTCAGGAAGCCTAACATTCGTCACAAACGACCTAGTTTATGCGGTGATGGTAGGGGAAAGGACAAGAATAATAGTTTTGTTGTTAGGATATAATTGTAACATACGCTGACTGTAGTAGGAATAAAAGAAGAAAGGCAAGAAGGTGAAGAGGAAAAGAATATGTAACTAAGAATTAAGAGAGATAATAAAAAATGTTTTGGGCAGCATAGGAAATAATGTAGAAAGAAATGGTAACGGTTCAAAAAGAAGACTGGGTAAATATTAATGTGTTTTGGAAAATGACAGTAGGGAGGATGGGAATAAAGAATCAGACGAAAAGAGGAAATGATATTTGATTGAGATTATAAAGAACAGAAGCAAGGAACGAAACTTCGGTTTAGTTAATAGCCGTCCTCTCTTTGATGATCACATAATAGTCGTGAAATGTAAACCATACATTCTACTGGGCATTACTAGCCAATAGTTCAGAAAGCAAGGACTGCTGCTTACTTTTTAATCATTGTTTGAACAAATTAATGAGTGTCTTAGCTTCCATTCTTTGATGCCCACAGTCTCGCCTACTGGGAAAACAGCTCCAACTGGTCGTTCACCAACAGCACATACAGTCCTTCTTGGTTGACTGTCTTTTGTCTGGACCAGAGGTGGGGTTGAGTTGCTTTTGTTGATGACAGCATGTATTTATGTAGAAGCCTCCTCAATTGTTCTCGAATTTGACAGGTGCCAATACACGTCAATTATTCTTAGCTGTCTTCGCTTTCATAACTCTCGATCTGGGTCGTGTTGATAACTTTTACGTCTAAAATAAGGCATTATTTTAGTAAAAGAATTCCTTTAAATTCTTTTTTTTTTTTTTGAACACAAGAGACCAAGCAAGAGCCAGCACACATGTTAGCAAAAACAGAAACTCCGTAATAAATCCTGTTGCCATGGCATAATAATATTCCCTTTTTATCTAATTATGGCTATTTTCAAGCAATCTGATTTCCCAAAAGTATCGGATTATTAGACTCGCTGATAACAGCAGATTGGATAAGAAAATAAGGAGAGTAATCTGTGTTTGATAACTGAATTTTAAATTGCATGAAAAATAAATAGATTGTATACATTTGATGAACAGTGAAAACAATATTTATTTAGACACCACCACCACAACAAAAACCATTGTGCATGATTGCGTCTACCGGATCAGTGCATAGTTCATCAGCTTTTTGCCTCTAAAGATGAATTTCGGCGATCTAATCACGATGAAAACCAAGTATAACTGAACAAAAAAAAAAACTTGTATAAATGTATCAGGTAAACTTAGTTTTTTTTATGTTTAGTCAACATGGTCACCTCATGAACTTTGTTGTCTCACAGCTCTGGCCTACTGTAGCATATTGTTAATTCGGCTAGCAAAGGACATTGCAGTCGCTAATACTTTCAACCCATTTGCTATATGTTTCTGCAACATCCTTTCGGGTATAATAGACATTATTTACTATAGAGAGCAAAAATACAAACCAACTAGAACAAGGCAATATAAACGACTTTTTGGACCATGTGTTTAGGCTAAAGCTGCATATAACCTAAATAAATGATAAATTCTCAAAAATTATAGATAACTAAAGCACATAGAAAACATATGATATACTTACATATTACAAATGGGCTATCAGCCCGATATTCATCAGGAATAGCCCCAGGTGGCTCAGCAGTAAGTCTGAGGGATTATAACTCTAAAAATCGAGCTTCAAAACTGGCGGTGGGCACAGTACAGATAATCAATTGTGTAGCTTGGAGTTTAACAACAGGCAAACAAACAAACATCAATAATAATTAGGTAAAATTACAATACATATGTTTTATTTTTTGGTCTTTAGAAAGTAAGATTTCTGTATGACAAACTGGATATAAAAATCACGTTTATGGAGACCAAAATGTATATAAAAAAGATTTCCCCTGCCACCGGTAACTACAATTTTTTGTTGTGACTTTTAATTGGACTATTAAAATAATGTTGTTGAACAGTTGAGCACTAGATGTCACTAAACGGTATAAACAAATATTGACTAGGATCGAAACTATCATGGCGTTAAACTTAAAGTGATCCACTAACTCGTTAAGTGTTCTATGCGATTTTACTGTGCTTTTTTTTGGGAGAAAGTAAGAGTTGAGAAAAGAAAAAAAGAATGCAGCCACCTCCTAGAAAGGTATATGTGTTTCTTTGTAGATACATATTGCTGTAGTATTTTAAGTTGTGAAGTAATGTTTATACACTTAGAAACATATTAGTATTACTATTACTACAACTTAAGTACAAGTAGATTTGTCAGGATTTAGATAATAATCACAATCACTCAGTATCACTGTATCAGTACTGTGGCCCATGTTGGAGTTGACTTTTATTTTACGTTTTAACTTTTTTTAAAGTTTTATAATATAACTTCCTAGTTATAACTGAGTATCATTGGTTCCGTAATTTATATACAGAGTTATGAAGAAACAGATAGATATATTATTATTTTACTTTATTAAATATTTTCATTTTGTTGTAACGTGCTTGATGGAATTTGAATTAATTGGTTCAGTGGTTGTCTAGGCTAGAGTTGCAGTAAGTAGTATCCTATTCCTAGTTCAATGTGTTCATTAGCTAGTTAATAAGTGGGATTTATTTATTCTAAACATTAAAAGTGAAATACTGTAGTTAGAAAAAATGCTGTTCAAATGCTCTTTTATTAATTTAAGTTGTTAGGTTTTTGTTATTTCCAAAAAAAAGCATTTTGGAGTTTAAGCATATATCAGTAGTAGTTTATAGGCTTATCCATTACATATGATTTTTTTTTACACTTCTTGTTTTAGAGAATTCATACTTCAGTGTCCAAAATACCACATTATCTGAAATTTATATTATGTTGCTAATAAGATCGTAATTATCTTGAAATTACTCATACTGTTTCCTTTAAAAACTATGTAAGATCACAAATGAAATTATTTGTAAGAATGATAGTTTGTTTTAAAACTAAGAGTAAGTATAGCGATAAGGATGCTTGAAAATATATAATTGAAACTTTTGAAAGTATAAATATTAGAGGGTTTATGCAGTATATTCAAGAGTCAGATCATTGTAGATAAATATAGGATGTGCAATTCTTGCAGCTGTAGAAAACAATTTATATTTACATATTAGTGCATTTTTGTCAATCAACAAAGAGAAATATTTAGTTGATAATCTAATTGGAATATGATTTCTGATACTGAAAACAACTAAGTATCTCTATTCTGTGTAACAAAAACTATATCTTTTGTTGTTCATGATTCAACTTGAAAATCTGGCATGACCAAAAAGAAAAAAAAAAGTGGCAGAAGTAGTTCTGGTGAAAAATGTTAATTCAAAGACTTACTTCCTGTTTTTGTGTTATTTAATTTTGTTCTGTAATGAAATTAATAATTTTCATTTTTGTAATAATTTGTTAAAACATGTTTTTTTTAGTTTATAAAGATATCAGAGAAAAGTGAGTCCATATTTATCTCTGTAACTTGAAAGATCTAGTATATATATATATATGTGTGTGTGTGTGTGTGTGTAGAGCTTGGGTATATAAATATGAAATTTGGAATATAACATATGAACAATAAGGGACCATATAATCTTTCAAGGCTGTTCTTGCACACTCACCTTGAAAAAAGTGAAAATTTAAAACCACCTTTGATTTTTTCAGAAAATCATCAGTTTTTCTTCCTTTTACCCTCTAGTAGAGCTCTGGTGTGCACTGCTTCTGATGACAACTCTTTCTACAAGTCAATCACCCTCTTAGAGAAATAAAACTGTCTTAACTGGAGCTTATCCCATCTTTTCTAAATCTTAAACTTATGTCCTCTCCTCCTATTTACAAGTATTTTAAAATATACACAAAGAAACTCAAAGGCCTTTAACCTATTAATATTTGATTTCAATAACCTCTTACCTATCTTTTCTAAAGATAAAATTAGAGATTTCAACATATGCCTATAAGATAACATTTCCATTTCCATAATCATCATAGTAGCCCTCCTCTAATTCCTTTCCAATAAACCAGTGCCCTTTCTTATATAAGGAGAAAACTGTACACATTATTCCAAATGAGGTCTAAGCTAGTGGTCATATAGAGAGATAATTTCTCCTTTTGGCTTGTAATCAATTTGTCTGTAAATACACCTTAAAATTACATTATTCCAAATGAAGACTAAACTAGTGGTCATAAAAAGAGATAATTACTCATTTTGGTTTGTAATTGATTGGGTTCTGTCTGTACTAAATATGTATTACAGGTTATGATAATCGAAATGCAATATTTTTGTCAATATCATTAACATCAATAAGAAAAAGAAAATGCCAAAGCATTGACTTCTCAGGCTCTTCACTTGTAACAAGGGTCAAGTTTGACTGCATTAATAATAGTATTTTGCTTTGATCCAACCACCCTACAGTCCAATTAACTAGTGTTTCCCCATCCTCCTACCAATGTCATTTTCTTAGCTAATCTTTTGTATGGCACTTTAACAAATGCATTTTGAAAATCTATGTATAACAACTTACCAAGTCCACACTATTTCAGTCATCCAAATAACAATTAACATCTTAAAAAAAAAAAGATAAACATATCAGATTAGTTAAGCAAGATATTATTTTGGTGTGTTTTATATGTTATGATGAATGCTTAATATTTTTAATGATGTTTTGTATATATTTATGTTGTTTTAGACCAAGGCTGTTACAAGCCTACGGAATGTTCATAATGAGCAGATTACAAAACTTCAAGCTAAGCATCAGCAAGATGCTGATTTATTGGAAGATATTCGGTAAGTAACAAATAATTCTTTCTCTCTGACACTTGTTTTTATTTGTCATAAAGATCAAAGAAAGATATTTCTTTATTTAGTTTATTAGAAATTATGTTAAATGTAGGTATAATGTTTTTAAATATCTGTAAACTTATTACATATGCTATCAAGTTGACACACATTGAGTACGTTTTCAAAATTAAGGTTATAAAAAATAGTGATGATTCAAGGCTATTACATCTTTAAGATTAACCATCAACTACTTTGTCTAAAAAACAGACACGATCTATGGCTGAATATATTCATCAAACGTGGCTTTAGAAGAGCTCAAGTTAACAGCACAAACAATACCTTTTATTACAATGAAAGGAAGTACTCTGTCGTAATTAAAAGTAAACTTGATAAACAGAGTAAGATTTAATGAAAGTACAACGTTTCACCAGGTTAACCTGCCATCATCAGGTAGATTAACTACAATGAATGAATTGAAACTACAAATATATATAATACAGCGCAAGGGTACATTGAATTTAAAAAACAACAACTATTAATTGAAGAAAAACTGAGATATTAAAATAGGATAAAATTTATTAAAACCTGACCAGGTCTCAGGGATGTCTTGTGTTGTTTCATTTCTTATATGTCAAACATCAAGCAGAAGTTTCTGTGTTACATACTGTTGTCTGTTTTAGCTAAATTTATCTTTCTGGTTTAGCTACACATAGTTACCTGACTTAATATATTTATCTGGTTTAGCTACAAATAGTTATCTGGTTTCATGAAGAAAAGTTATGTGATTTAGTTAGTTACCTTATATTTATTTAATTGAATCAAATGAATCTGTCTTGTTTAGTCATTTATAGCTACTGGACTTTATAGTTTTAATTTGTATTGTTTAATAATATAATTTTATGGTTTACCCAATCATATTTTTTTGGTTTAGTCTAACAAAACCTCTAAACCATGTGCATCAGTATTATAACTTTATAAGGAAGCTTAGAGATACACAGAACAGGCCGTTTCTTGACATACATGTGTTGTTATTTTTATGACGTATTTTTGTAGAACTTTCATATGCTTAGACACAGTATAAAGATTCTTATTTTCTCCGTTAATTTTAGTAGATAGTAATTTATTTCTTCCAGTTTACCACATTATATTTTATACAGACAAATGGGCATTCAAATGTGTGATGTTTTGCTTGTATTTCGTAATTTACTTTATGGTTTATGTATTTTAATTCTACTGCTCATTCCTTCCTGTGCCATGGCCAGGTGGTTAGGGCACTCGACTCACAATCTGTGGCTCGCGGGTTCGAATCCCCGTCACACCAAACATGCTCGCCCTTTCAGCTGTGTGGGCGTTATAATGTGACGGTCAATCTCATTATTCGTTGGTAAAAGAGTAGCCCAAGAGTTGGCGGTGGGTTGTGATGACTAGCTGCCTTCCCTCTAGTCTTACACTGCTAAATTAGGGTCGGCTAGCGCAGATAGCCCTCGTGTAGCTTTGAGCGAAATCCGTAATAAACAAACAACACATTCCTTCCTCAGTGTTTTCTAAGCTCCCGTTTCTCCAATATCATCAAAATTTTACTCAGTTTGTATTTACGTATGTTGGTGCACCTTGTTAACAGACTTTGCTACCGATGGAATAAATTTATTCATAAGTTTTTCATTCTCTAAACCATGTTTGTCTTCATTACTACAAATACTTTTGTTGTGTATAAAAATATATCCTTAGCTTCGTTATTAAGAATCACATTGTTATTATTATTCAATATTAATATACGAAGAAAGTTGTTATCGCACTTTGTTGTACGTTGTTCTTGTGTTTGTGCTTTTTGCTGTCACCTTTCCTTTCACTAATCCAGAATAAGAAGGTTTATAACTTGAAGCTCTGAAAAGTACTGTCATGTGACACTTAAAGAATCCAAGCGCAAAAAAATTAGTTGTATGCTGTGTGTTTTGTTATTTAGATGTAACTTCTTGGCCAAACTTCCATTGATGATAATGACCATATCAATTACGAGTCCACTGGTAAGTTAAAGAGCTTATAATGTTAAAATTCGGGGTTCTATCGTTGCAGTTAGCACATCACAGGTAGTCAATTGAGCAGCTTTGTGCATAACAATGGAGTATTGGATCACTAAAAAGTAACTATAAAAGCACAAAAAAGAGAGAAAAAATACAATACGTGTGAGCAGTTTCGGAGAGTGGCTATCCTGACGAAAAAGGTATAATTTCTGAATGTGCTTTGAGTTTCAGATTTTTTTAAGGCGAAAAATTAAAAGATTTTATGCAAGGTATAACGGGATCTTGGTTGGAGCTACTTTTGTGGGTTTGTTTCGGATACTCGAGCATAGCTAAGCTAGCTAAGGACTATCTGCGCATAGTCGTTCGTAATGTTTAACTGATAAATTAGAGAGAAGACAATAATACCAACGTTTAGTGGGATTTTACAGTCACCGTTATAACGCACCCACGGCTCTAAAGTTTTCTTCTTCTTCTTTTGTGGTTGTTATTGTTCTTCTTTTGTTTGTTTTTGAATTTCGCGCAAAGCTACACGAGGGCTATCTGCGCTAGCCGTCCCTAATTTAGCAGTGTAAGACTAGAGGGAAGGCAGCTAGTCATCACCACCCACTGCCAACTCTTGGGCTACTCTTTTTACCAACGAATAGTGGGATTGACCGTCACATTATAACGCCCCCACGGCTGAAAGGGACGGGGATTCGAACCCGCGACCCTCAGATTGCGAGTCGAGCGCCTTATCCACCTGGCCATGCCGGGCCGCTCTTCTTTTACGGCAACGAGATATCCTAAACCCTCGGATTCACAGCCCGACGCTAGGTTCTGGGCCACACATGGCCCGTTACACTGGTATATAGCAATAATACTCGCGAACTCATGGGTCTATGGCCCGGCCCATTAAACTTTTTCAGTTTAATGACCATTGCCGCTATAATGCAAATTTAATTTCTTTAACTAAGTTACAAGAGGTAATTAATAGGACTACTTATTTACGTGTTCTAATGCCAAATCTAGGATCCTCTTTCGGGGAATCCCCGTAAAAGCGTTTTCGCGAAATACTCGGGTTCCCTAAGGGTTGGGTGAAAATTTTTAACTTTCTGCAAACTTCGGGGCCAAGACCATTCGGTTGGTATCACTTAGCAGTTGGTGCGACCAGCGGTTTAGGAGGAATTACGTGACACACATACACACACTGAACTTTTTATATGGATTTTATCGCATTTCAAAATTTTTACAGGTATGTTTACAACGTTATACGGTAGTGTGTTTTATATGAGCATATCAGCATTTTATTATAAACGTTTGATTGGACAATGCACTTAATCATTTTAATGTTACCTGATATATGTAGTTATTTTTAAATCTATCAAATTGATTTTTCTTGTTATCGTGAAGGTGAAGATGTAGAAAAATCGATCCTGTCGATTTGAAAGTTCATTTTTATGCGCTAAACCTCTTAAAACGCACATGTAAATATAATTAATGTCTAACGGTGTTTTATCTTTTTGAACTAACAGTTAAGTGAGCACAGATATAACCCCATAATTGTAAGCTACAAATTCCAAATACTAGTACCACATTTTATGGGAACAATAAAATTTTTAACCCATGTTTAGGGATTACAAAATCACATAATCCTACTTATAAACTTACGCTTAACTTTTGGCGCTCTTTTCTGTGCCCCCCCCCCCCCCCGTGCCACAGCGGCATGTTTGCTTTTTGTAGCTTTGTGCTGAATTACAAACAAACAAAATTGTCCTTTCTGTCTTATAGAAAATTATGGTTGTTAATTTCTTTTGATAAAGATAAGTCTTAGTGATGAAACTTAAGTGGACATTTCATAAGAAACACAACTTACCTACCCTTCCTTAAATAAAATTCGTATTTTCAAGCTTTTGAATGAGTTGTGTTTTGTATCGAATAATTTTTAAGATGATAGTTAGAGTACAATGAATTATTGATTTCCACGACAACATAAAAAACAATTGGTTTTGGTTTTCATAAAGCGAAAAGTTTGAACATTTGGAAAGCAGAATGAGAATTGTGTTGACAGAAGTTTAGGCTTGAGCTAGCATAACCCTGTGTGGTATTCTCAGATCCACTGACTTCCCTTCAAGAAATTGAGTAGGTTTTAGAGAATAACAAAAAGTTCGATAGAAAAGGTTTTGCGGTAGTATGTCTGAATTCTATGACTTTGACCATAGGCGGTGAAACCGGGAGAAGAGGGTACTGGGGGCACGTGCCCCAACTTTTGATTCAGTGGTAAAGTGCCTCTTTGAATGGAATAGATACTTGTACATAATTATCAGGGAAAGTCGCTGTTTCAACATATTAACTAATATGCCCCCCCCTCCCCATTTGTTCTGCTGCCTGTGAGTCTTTGACTGAATCATGAAAGAAAGAGACTGGGAAAATGTTTTTGTGTTACAATATGAAACAGTCTTTATTTGTTCACAAAAATATACAAAGACAACGAGTGAGAAGGTCGGGGTTTTTACTGGAGGTTTGAGAGGTCTATAAAAAAGATCTTTATGAAGTCCATGAAAAAGCTCTTCCAGACTTAGAAAGCATAGATTTATATACAATAAAAATAAAAATGCTATTCTTTTGAGCATGTCTACGCTATCTGCTTTACTGTTGGTCATTTTCATCGAAAAATATAGTGTCATGTGACTTGCTAATGGAAAATATAACTGTCCACTTTCACACTGTATGTTCAACTTTACAGAAACATTTCCTGCAAGAAAGCGCACATGACACCCTTAGGGAATGACCTAGTTCAGTAGGTAACGAGAGCGAAAGGAACTTTGTTACTTCCTTCATCAAGTTCTGTAGTAAAACTACATACACCTGTATGCGTGGAATGTTTTGAAATATTTATAATAAACAAAGGGTAGAAAATGCGTAGTATGCGTGCATACTAAATCTAGTATATAGTTCAGCTTTTATATTTGTCAACTACACAAATACAGATTACAAAGTTTTGGTAAG